TATATATATAGGAAGACTCAAAGGAAACTAAGATATCGGTCTGGAAAATTATCATTGCTCTTGACCTCTTTTAACACTAAGGCTAGGGAGCTGAAGTATCTTTCTCAATTCAAAGTCCCTCATTATTACACCTCTCCTCATGAAGTTCTCATCTTATGCTGTCAAGGAAAAAGTAAGAATGCTGACTTCATAGTGAAAATCAGGTAACTGTCAAATGGAATTAATTTTCCTTCATGAAAGGAGGCAGTGAGTTGTAATAAGGATATCAATGAGGAACATTAAAGCTATTTATAGAAAGCATTCATGTCATTTATTCTTATTTAAAATTTTATAAATATATTCTTCTTAATGAGAAGAATAAGGAGTTAAGTACAAACATTAATTTCAACATAAAATCTTTATTCTCAGAACACGGCCATTCTTGCTTATTTGTACTTATGAATCATACAAAAGAGTAATTGTCCCTTGACTAATAAAGAAACATCTTCTGAACATGGTAGGCACTCCAGCATTCCATAATTTTGTTGTTGTTGTTGTTGCTGTTGTTGTTGTTTTGTTTTGTTTTGGTAGTACTGAAGATTCAACCCAAGGGTGCTTTATCCTTTTTTTGTTTTTTAATTTGAGACAGTCTCATCAAGCTGCTGAGGCTATCCTCAAACTGCAATCTTTCCTGACCAAGCCTCCGAAGTTGCTGAAATTACAGGAAAGCACCACCACCCCCAGCTCAAACATTTTTAAAATTAAAGTTAACAATTTTAAACAACAGCTGAAAAATTCTCTATTCAATTTTATTGTTTATAATTATTTCCTCAAAGTAAACACAGATATTCGATGTTCAGTGTATTTCCCTGATTACCATACTTTCCTCAAGTTTACTCTTGGTAAAAGAATAAAAGGGTAATTTAATAAAGTAAATATTTAGATTTCCAAAGAGGATGCAGGTACAGGAGAACATACTTGTATGATAGACAATGGTAATTTTTCAGTTTACTCTAGATTGTACTGATTCCATCCAGAGTTACATCACTAAATTTGAAATGTCATTTACAAATAATATTTCATGTAACACAACATTAAATGTATCACTGTTGTAAATATAAATCATCACTTCATGGATAATTCATTGTCTTTAGTACTGTTAAATTAGAAAACTGGGTATAGTGATTACTAAAATTAAACTGAAAGCATTTCAAGTTATTGGTTTGCTTATTTAAAGATAGCTTATAATTTTCCTCTGTCATTACCCATTTGTGATAAAAATGCTGAAGGCATTATGAACAGAAATACCTCATCATAAAGGCTATATAAAACAAACCCAAAGACAAAATCATAATTAATGAGGAAAAACTGAAAACACTTGTCTTTAAAATTCAGAACAATACAGAGATGTACACTCTCACACTCCTATTCAATATAGTACTTGAAATTCTAGCCAATACAGTTAGGCAAGAGAAGGAAATAAAATAGATAAAAATTAAAAAAAAGTCAAATTATCACTGTTTGCAAATGATATTGTTCTACACTAAGAACATCCAGGAAGTTCTACCAGAAGTCTTTTACAGCCAACAAATAAATTCAGGAAAGCAGCAAGATACAAAATCAGCATCCAAAAATAAATAGCTTTCCTATACACCAATAATGGATTTGCCGAAAAAGAAATGAGAAAAACAATTCCATTCACAATAACCTAAAAAAAAATACTAGCAATAAATCTATCCAAGAAGTTAAAAACACCTCCACCATGAAAATTATAAAACACTGATCAAAGAAACTGAAGAAGACACTAGAAGATAAAAAGATTTATCATGTTCATGGGTAGGCAGAATTAATACTTATGAAATGACCATATTGCCAAAATCAATATACAAACTCAGTGCAATCCTCATCAAAATACCAATGACATTCTTCACAGAACTGGAAGGGAGCAGTCAAAATTCATTTGGAAGAATAAAAGAACCAGAATAGCCAAAGCAATTCTATCAAATGCAATTCTCATTGAAATTCCAATGATGTTCCTCAACCAGAAACAGAAAAAGCAAGTCATGAAATTCACTTAAAAAAAAAAATAAGAGAACTGGAATAGCCAAAGCAATCCTTAGCAAGAAAAGCAAAGCAGAAGGCATCACAATACCAGACCTCAAATTGTACTATTGAACTATGGTAACAAAAACAGCATCGTTTTGGCACCAAAGCAGGAGAAGACCAATGGAAAAGAACAGAAGACACAGAGACAATCACACATAAATACCACTATCTCACACTAGACGAAGGCACCAAAAACATATGCTGGAGAAAAGATAGCCTTTTTAACAAATGGTTCTGGGTAAATTGGAAATTCATATGTAGTAGAATGAAATTTAACCCCGTCTCTCACCCTGCACAAAACTCAACTCAAAGTGGATTAAAGATCTAGGTATCAGAGCAGAGACCCTACACCTGCTAAAAGAAAATGTAGGCCCAACACTCCAACATTTTGCCTCAGGAACTGACTTCCTTAACTCCTAGAACACAAGAAGTAAAATAAAAACTCAATAAATGGAATGGCATCAAATTAAAAAGGTTTTTCACCCCAAAGGAAACAATTAAGTATGTGAAGAAACAATCTACAGAATGCAAGAAAATTTTTCTTACCTGCTTCTCAGATAGGGCATTGATACTCAGGATATGCAAACAACTCAAAAACCTTAACACCGGAAAAAAAAATAGCCCAGTCAATAAATTGGCAAAGGAACTGAACAGACACTTCTCAAAAGAACAAATATATGACATATATGAATAGCAAGTATATTTTTTTAAATGTTCAACATGTCTAGCAATTAAAGAAATGCAAATTAAAACAACACTGAGACTTCATCTCACTCCAGTCAGAATGACAATTATCAAGAATAAAACAAGTAACAATAAACCTCGGCAAAGACATAAGGAAATGGGCACAAATTGTTGCAACCACTCTGGAAAGCAGGGTATGGAGTATTCCTCAGAATACTAGGAAAAAAAAAAAACATCATGTGACCCAGCTATCCCACTCCTCCATATATATCCAAAGGACTTAAAAATTAGCACAATACAGAGTTCCAGCCACATCAATGTTCACTGCAGCTCAATTCACAATAGCTAAGCTAGGGAGCCAACCTAGGTGCCCTTCAACAGATGAATGGATAAAGAAAAAGTGGTATTCATAAATTAAGTATTACTCAGCCATTAAAAAGAATGACTTTCTGGCATTTGCCAGTAAATGGATGGATCTGGAGACTATCATGCTAAGTGAAAAAGGAGAGTTCCAAAAAGTCAAAGGTCAAATATTTCCTCTGACATGTGGAAGATATTCCAAAATAAGAGGAAAGGATAGAAGAAAGTTCAATGGAGTAAACAAATAAGAATGAAGGGAAGAGAGGAGGGATTAGAGAGGGAAAGACAATAGAATAAATCTGACCTAACTTTCCTATGTGCATATATGAATATACCACAGTGAATCTCACCACAATGTACATCCATAAGATACTAATTTAAAAAAAAACTATAAGCAAATAGCAGTAAAGAGCAGAGAGAAAAGAACAGGGTAAGGAAGAAAGAGAGAAAAGCAGAAGTCCTGGGGACTGAATTAGAACAAATTCTATGTTTTTATAATTATGTCAAAATTAATACTACTGTCATATATGTAAATTTAAAAAAGAAAAATATTCCTAATAAAAAAGTTTTTAAAAAGCAATGCTGATGGCATGCCAATACTGAACTTCAAATTATGTTACAGAACTATAGCAAAAAATTAAAAGTTGCATAATACTGGCATAAAAGCAGACACATAGATCAATGAAACAGAATAGAAGACACAAAGACAAACCCAAAAAGATGTAACCATCTTATATTTGACAAAGGTGCCAAAAATATACATTGGAGAAAAGACTTTTTAACAAATTATGCTACAAAAACTGGTAATCCGTATGCAAAAGAATGAGAATACATCTTATCTCTCACCCTGCACAAAACTCAACTCAAAATGAATCAAAGACCTAGGAATTAAACCAGAAACTCTCCAACTGCTATAAGAAAACCTATGGTTAACACTCCAACATACAGGCAAAAGCAATAACTTCCTCAATGGAACTCTCAAAACAAGAAATACAAATGGACAACAAATATATGATAAAATAGTCCACATATTAACTGGAATATGCAAATCAAAACTATATGAGATTTCACCTCACTTCAGTTAGAATGTCAGCCATCAAGAATACAAACAAAAATAAATGCTGGCGAGGACATAGGGGAAAAGGAACACTTTTACACTCTTGGTGGAATTGTTAATTAGTACAAACACTGGAAATCAATATGGAGGTTCCTCAAAAGACTGGGAATGGAACCACAGTATGACCCAGCCATACCACTCCTTAGCATTTATCCTAAAAAATTTAAATCATCATACCATAACAACATGTGCATATCCTGTTTATAGCCAAACTATGGAATCAGCCAAGGTGTCTATCAATGGATGAATGGATAAGGAAAATGGGCTATGTATACATAACTGAGTTTTATTTAACCAAAGAGAAGAATAAAATTCTTTTCATTTGCAGGAAAATGGATGGAACTTAAAAGTATTATGTTAAAAGAAATGTCAAACTCAGAAGGTCAAGAGTCGGAAGTTTTCTCTCAAATGTGGAAGTTAGAGAAAAAAAATAGAAGGGGAAAAAAAAGGTTTGAAGAATCTCATGAAAATAGAAAAAAACCAGTAAAGTAGAGAAAAGGAAACAGGAGGAAGAAGGAGAGGAGGAAAAGAAGAGATACTGGGGTACAAAATTGACCAAATTATATTGTTCTACTGTGCATGTATGAATATGTAACAAATCCCACTATTGTATATAATTATAATGTACCAATTAAAAATATGAAAAGGACCTGCACAGGAGCCCAGGCCCAGGGTAGGTCCAGGTCCATCTCGTCACCAGCAGACCTCAACTGGAGCTCAGGCTCCAGTACAGGACCAGACCACCTTCACCGACCAGCAGACACCAAACAGAGCTCAGGACCAGATCCACCTCCACCAACCTGCAAGGGAACCCAGGCCCAGTGTAGACCCAGGTCTGCCACCTCCCCACACCTGAGAGCTCAGGCCTAACCCACTTCTATCTTGGGACATTGCAGACAACTCTATAGCCTTCACCACATAGTAGCCTCTACCTTGGGCTAACAGACAAGGCCTAAAAGCATCTGCATCTGAAGCAGGCATCCCAAAGCCAGCGTAAGGCCCACCCTTTCAGCCCCATCTCTGAAAGACACTGCATCCATCTTGGGGCACCTCCACTGCTATCTCAGGTTACCTCTGCTATTGTCGCCCTCATCTTTAGCTGCAGTAGCATCCATCATGGGACACCAGTAGGGTCTGGAAACCCAACACCAAGGTGAGGTACAGATAATCTGCAGGGATACTACGAAATTATATGGCAGAAACTATAATATCTCAGATCCACAGTGCAAGAAAGGAAGACACATAGACAACATAAAAAACAAGAGAGGAAAATGCCCCAAACAAACAGGACACTAAAATAACAGAACCCATGGACAGTGCAGTTGATGAAATGTCAGAGAAGGAGTTCAGAAGGCTCATAATTAAAATGATCTGTGAATTAAAGAATGACCTAAATGAGCAAGGACAGGCAAAAATTGATCATGCCAACAAAGAGATAAGAGAGCAAATACAGGCAACCATTGATGACACCAATAAACAAATAAGGAAACAAAGGCAGGCATCAATTGATCACACCAACAAAGAGATAATGGAGCAAATACAGGTAGCAAAAGATTACTTTAAGAAAGAAATGGAGACTTTGAAAAAAAATCAGAAATCCTTGAAATTAAGGAAACAAAGAACCAAATAAAAACCTCAATACAAAGCATCAACAATAGACTGGATCACTTGGAAAACTGAACGTCAGAAAATGAAGACAAAGTATACAATCTGAAAAATAAAGTTGACCACACAGGAGGATAGTAAGAAACCATAAACAGAACATCCAAGAATTATGGGATAGCATTGAAAGACTTAGAATCTAAGACTTATTGGGATAGAGGAAGGCACAGAGTTTCAAACCAAAGGAATGCACAATATCTTCAATGAGATAACAGAAAATTTCCCAAACGTAAGATTGAAATGGAAAATCAAATACAAGAGGCTTAAAGGACACCAAATGTACAAACTTACAATAGATGTATACCAGGGCACATTATAATGAAAATGCCTAGCATATAGAATAAGGATAGAATCTTAAAGGCTGAAAGAGAAAGGAATCAGATCACATACAGGGGGAAACCAGTTCGTATCTCAGCAGATTTTTCAACCCAGACCCTCAAAGCCAGGAGATCCTGGAACATACACCAAGCTCTGAAAAAAAAAAAAAGTATGTCAACTAAGAACCTCATATACAGCAAATTAAGCTTTAGATTTCTTGATACAATAATAAAAGTTAAAAGAGAAAACATTCGGCATTTGTTTTTTGGGGATTGGTTAACTTCACTTAGCAAATCTTCTCCAATGCCATCCATTTACCTGCAAATGCCATGATTTTTATTCTATTTTATTGCTGAGTAAAATTCCATTGTGTATATATGCCACATTTTTTTATCCATTCATCCACTGAAGGGCATCTAGGTTGGCTCCAGAGTTTAGCTATTGTGAATTGTGCTGCTATAAACATTGATGTGGCTGTGTCCCTGTAGTATGTTGTTTTTAAGTCCTTTGGGTATAACTCATAGTGGGATAGGGAGGAGTAGCATGGAAGGAATAGATAAATTCTAGATAGGGAAGAGGGGTGGGAGGAAAAGGGAAGAGGCAGAGGATTAGTAAGGGTGGTGGAATGTGATAGACATCATTATCCAAAGTACATGTATGAAGACATGATTTGTGGTGAACACACTTTATATACAAAGATGTGAAAAACTGTGTTCCATATGTGTGATAAGAATTGTAATGCATTCTGCTGTCATGTATTTAAAAAATAAAATCAATTAAAACAATAAAATAAAATTTAAAAAAGGTAAAAGAATTTACAACTAGAAAGCCTGCACTATAGAACATCCTCGGCAAAATATTCCATGAAGAGGAAATGAAAATCAGCAGAGGGAGGTGGTATACTAAAGGAAAAACGAATCAAAGGAGAAACCAAGTCAAGTTAAATAACAAAAATGGCTGAGAATACATATCATATCTCAATAATAACCCTGAATGTTAATGGCCTAAACTTACCAATCAAAAGACATAGGCTAGCAGAGTGGATCAAAAAAAAAAAAAAGACTGAATAATATGCTGCCTCCAAGGGATTCATCTCATAGGAAAAGACATCCACAGACTGATGGTGAAAGGTTGGGAAAAATCATACCACTCACATGGACCTCAGAAGCAAGCAGGGATTTCCATCCTCATATCAAATAAAGTAGACTTCAAGCTAAAGTTAATCAAAAGGGATAAAGAAGGACACTATATACTGCTTAAGGGAAACCATACATCAACAAGACATAACAATTATAAATATATATGCCCCAAACAATGAATCATCTACGTTCATCAAACAAACTCTTCCCAAGTTCAAGAGTCAAACAGACCACAACACAATAATTCTAGGTGACTTTATCACACCTCTTTCACCATTGGATAGATCTTCCAAACAAAAGCTGAATGAAAAAACTACA